AGTTATCCGGACTGCTGGGTTATCGAGTGCCGAGTTTTCGAGACTCTACTGTATCTAATCATTATTAATAGCAATTTATAACCCAATTAATTATGGTGATTATTTGGTTTAGTATGAATGTATTGGGCTTCGGGAAGTTTATTGTAAACAATATCTTCTAAATATTTTTTAAAGTTAAATGTTATGATTTTTATAGAAGTTTGTTAGGTAGATCTATTTTGCACTCTATTGTTATATGGATGAATGCAACAACCAGTTTATATAAGAATCATATGATCAGTAATTCGTCAACCATAAAAGTGATGTTCTTCAATCTAAATTTTATTTCCAATTTAATCACATGCAAAAAGCAAACATTTGTTATTTATCTCCAAGCTATTTTAAAGAGGCATTTTTCTCCTCCCTAGTGCTACATCTTCAGTATGGTCCTACTATCATCATTATTTTTTTTCTTTAGTATCTATTCAAGGACTTTCATTTCCAGAAACTAATGCTCAGCTTTTGATGCCAACTTCTACATTGTCACACCATCTTTTTTTCTTAGGTCTTTCCAGCTTTCTCTTACCAATTTGTTTGCTACAAGTTGAATCACTTTAATCTGCCATTCTGTGATCCAACAACTCCCATGCATGTTTTGAATTTGCGTCTATTAGTTAATGGATCTGTTGTATCTGTTTATTTGGTCCAAAGAAAATTAAGGAAACACCAAAATACCAGAAGTAATTTACATTGCAACAGTGGTTGATGATGGTCATTAATTTAATAACACTGCCAAGACTATACTAACATTGAAAATCCACTTTCTTGCTTCTCCATTGTTTCCAATGTAAACATACCTGGTGATCCTACATATCTTAAAGGTATTGCTGACCATAAAGACTTTGCTAACTTTATATGTAATCTGAGCTACAAGTATCACCCACACAGATTAACCTCTTGTTCACAGGAACACACATTATAACTTGGTCAAGATCAAAAACAGCATTTGCATATGCCATCAACTGTAAGGACCCATCAAAGATGGTCAGTCATTTCAAGATTAATATTAGAATCTTTCATTATTCTAGCCAAACAAATATTAAACAAAGATACTCACAAATAACAAGACCAGTTAAAATCCCAACAGACTTTACTCATATAAAATAAATGTCCATTTTTAAATGGATGGAAACATCAACAGTAAACTATATCAAATGCCAAACCAAACAAAATTCATTGAATTGAATTCAAATCAGAATATTTCCACTAACAGAAACTACACATGTGTCATAAAAAATCTCATATTTTGTGCTGGATTATGAAAAATTATACAATCAATAAATTAAAGAGAAAGTTACAAACAAAAGTATAACAGAAGGGGAGGTTTGAGCATGCAATGTAATACTTTTCTGTTTGTGACTTTCTTTTAAATTATTGATTGTATAATTTTTCATAACCCAGTACAAAATATGAGATTGTTTTATAGTGCATGTACAGAGATTCTGATACTGGAAACTTTTTATTTGAATTATATTCTATTTAATGAATTTTGTTCCGTTCTGCATTTGATGTAGTTTACCTGTTGATGTCCATTTTTAAATATATGGAAATGTTTGTATGAGTAAAGTTTGTTTAGATTTTAACTGGTCTTCATGTTTGAGTCTCTATTACATTTAATCTGTTATTGAAGTAGAGGATGTTAAAACGTTTAAACAATTAAATGGAAAGAGTATCTCCTTTATTAATATCAAAGCATTTCTGATATTAATTTAAGTTACCTTGCACCCTGCACTTTAAGTTGGGTCTTGGTGCAATTGTCACCACAAAATCTGATCAAATTGATTAAGATATCTCCAGCCTACACATGGAGTCATAAAGCTTGTTCTTTCTAATAGTTATAGGTCTGCTTGAAGTCAATAAATAATAAATGTAATTTAAATTAAGAAGAATTAATGAAAATAAAAACAAGTTATATTTAGATTTTAGGTTAATATTACTTTACAAACAATTAGAATGACAAAATACTAGAATTCAATAATATGAATTTAATTTTTGTATTTTAAGATAATATTCAGTTTAGCAGTACTCATTTCAAGCAATTATATTGTCATTTAAAGGCTTGGATTTATGTAATGGTCTACAAGATGAATTATAACCAATGTCTCATAATAAAAATTTATTGTATGTAGAAATAAATATAGATACAAGTAAATAAATTTTAAAGTTAAACATTTTGAAAATATATACATGTATCCTCGTACAACATGGTTTTGCTCTAACGTGGTTTAAAATTAAAGATATCTCCATATAGCACAATTTCTGATTTTGTTCTAACACAGTTTTAGAAATTCTCTGTACAAAATTTCAGTTTTTAAGTGTAAGCTTCATTATTCAATATTCTTTTTATTTAAGTAAGCACATGTTTTGTCTTAAATTTGCCCATAGATTTTAGAGTATTGAAATTTTCAAATTATTTTGTGCTTTTCATTAGATTTACTTTAATGAAAACTAATAGTGAAATTTTTTTCTTCCTTGTCATAACTTTCCCATCAACCAGGTGTCATTGTCGTTGCTTTCAGACTTTAGCCATTAAGACTGTGACTGTGTTTTCTTTTTATAGATTATCTTCATATTTAGTAAAGTTTAAATAAACATTTTTAGGTGAGTTTTATTAAACTTATTTTTAACTGTATGTAAGCAATCATTCATAAAATGATGAATGAAATACGGCAGTATCTTGGAATTCAAACACAAATTCTGGAAAAAAGTTGCTCTTGCTCAGTACTTGACTAAACAAACATGACCCACTAAAACAAATTTTTGATTGATATATTTTTATTTCATCATCTACATTTTTTATGATAAAAATAAAAAAATATAAAAATGTTGCTGATACTTCTGATCAAGATCAACAAAAAAGCTGAGATGACATGATACTTTGTGAAAAGAAAATACCCTTGTTTAACTAAAATTAATATTAATGCATAATACAGTACTTTAAATTGTGATTTTTAGTTAATTATTGATTGGAAATAAGTTATTGATCACTTTAATAAACATACTTCTTTTATTAACAAAAAAGAATAGTATAATTTTGCTAACTTTTATAATGTAACCATATGTTTTGCATTAGTCTTTTGTTTTGTATAGCATGGATTCACATAATATGGAATGTAACTACCGTGTTATATGAGGGATACCTGTATCTGAATCTAATACATTATATCATATATAAACTTCTCAGAAATTTTTAATATACAAGATAGGTGGAAAGTAGGCATTGAGAAATTGCTATAATTTTTTTAATTATAATGCAATTATAATAAAAATGTGCATGCATGTATAGTACATGCACACACAATCAATCAATGGATTTTTATCATTTTTGCATTGGTAGTGTGCAGTGACAGAGAGACCATACATTCAGTGGAAAAAAAGATGGCCAACCACTTATCTGTTAGGAGCAAGCACAGATTGCTGCATGCTATGAGGAGTGGAAGTCAGTGCTTACTTGCAGAGATGGTGGTGGATAGTGAAGGGACATCATGTCACAATTCATCTGGAAACAATAAAGAATTGTCATTTAAAGCTAATGACCACAGGTTTTGTTGCAGGTTTAGTGGGATTCGGTATACTCCTGGTGCTTTAGTGTCCAGGTGTATACTGCATCTCACTACAGGACGATAGATTCCACAGAATAGTAACGTATATAGAATCCACATACAGATCACTGCAGGCCAGGTTAAAGGATCACAATTGTATGTACTCAAACATTACTATATATTTTCAATCTATACTGTAACCTTGTTACATATATATATACATATATATAACAAGAATTATATTAATTAATTAATTAAAAGAACATACTGTTTTATATATATACAAAATACATATATAATACATTCTTTTAATAAAAATATAGGTGATAAGTAAACCTAATTGTAATTTAAATTCAGCAAATATTATTCATGATATATATCATTCACTTATTTATAAGTCATTTACTCTAGAAAGATAAGAATAACTTCTCTCTCTACAGTAAATGTTTTTACAAAAACAAGAATGGATTAGAAGATGGAAAGAGGCAATTATAGAGTTGACAAATACTTGCCTCCTTCAGAATTTGGGATCAATATACTTGTGGCTTCAACTCACTATAACTATCTGTTCTGTATGGTGGTACATTGGTGATCCAACATCTAACAACTAATATTACATTGGTAACACAGAGATTACATGAGTTTGAAAATTATTTTCAATTAAAGTTTCAAGTAAAGCTTTCACAAAAATATGAACCCACAGACAAGATGATTGGACACTTCAGATGTGTTCTAGTAATGGTAATAAGTTTATTTTGTCAAAAATATTCATTATTAAATTTTCTTCAGATTAACTAAATGGTTTAAAATAATTGTATTAATACATCAACCTTCGAAATAGCAAAATTTATACCTCATTATAATTTATATATCAAAATTTTTATCATTATAAACATTGTTTATTTCTGTTATATTTTTTACTTAATTAGGATTCATTACTATTTTTACTTTTATAAATATCATTAATTCTTTATATTAGTTTTTTATATTTTTGATGACCAAACTGACCGTTAATGTTTCCAGCAGTGCCATCAAAATAAAGTAAAAGTAATTATGATTTTAATAATTGTTGGGAGTCTATTCCATACCTCCTATATGAAGGCAGATTTGATGATAGCCTCATATACACAAGATCTAGTAACAAGGCATGGGCATGAAGGTTGGCAGAACAGAAATTCAGCCTTGACAACAACAATGCACCCATCACTCTGGTGCAATATGTGATAGTGTCAGGGATGTCAATGCATTGGATGATTCCAAATTAATTAAGGAAACCCTAAACAGACACTGATAGACTGAGAACACTAGATATATGAGCTCATAGCAACGAATATGTAAAAATAGTAAAGATGCAGAAATGATTTCCAACTCTTTAAATCACTTATAGACAATCCTTTATGTGAAGATACATTTTAAAAGCATGTTACATTTTAAAAGAAAATACACTGCCATTTATACATTTGACAATGTTTTATATTTTTGAGCTCTGATTTGTTTTCTACAAAATTATTGTGGAATGTTAGATTTTTTTTTAAATTAGTGACTTGGTTGATGACATAATGGAAATAACAAGACAGTTTTGTTGGTTTAAATGGATTTTGTTCCAGAACTTTGTTTTTAAAAAATTGTTCCAAAATCCAAAAGTTTGGCTAAAAAAGAATAAAATCTCATATAGAAGCCTGGCACAGTCTCCTGAATGAGGCCAAAAACATTTACTTTTCATTTATGTCAACAGCATTGCTGGATATGTACAAAATGTCAGTTTGGTCATCAATAATACATTAGTTCCAGCTTCACAGAACAATTTTTATGTTCTCATATTTTTATAATTTTATTTTCTGACATTTGTTTTTGTTTTTTTGTCTTATTTTTTATCTATTTTCTTTTGGTATTTATTTTAATATCTTTTCTACTTCAAGTATTATATTTCTGCTGTTTTTTAATTGCAATAGTTTTGAAAATTAAAATTAAAATAATTATTTTTTATTCTAGTCATGCAGATGGATCATTAAAATTTTGGGATGCATCATCAGGTATAGTAATTTTAATGTTATTTAGATTTAATTATAATTATATTCTTTAAAATATTTCACAAAATTTTCAGTATTAAAATATTAATGTAGTAAATTAATCAATTACTGTATACGAGGGGTGTTCAAAAAGTATTGGACCTTTATTTTTCCCACATAAACCAATGATGCACAGGAGGCCTCTTTTGGTGGAGTTGTGGAGGGGACAGTCATGCACAGTCCTGAATTTTTTCCTGCCTGCAGGAAGTGTCAGTTGCTGGCAGTTGGCCTATGAGTGAGGACGTGTAGTGAGTCGGATTCCACTAAGTTGGAAAATGACTGAACAACGTGAGCAGTGATATTGCATCAAATTTTGCCAAAAGCTTGGCGATACCAAAGTGGAAACCATTTGCAAGATTCAGCAGGCTGTCGGGGACAATCCTCGAAGTCAAAATAAGCACGGCAGGTTCGCAGCAATATCAAGATCATGTTGACAGTTTTTTCGACTCTCGTGGGGTGGTGTATCATGAGTACGCACCACAAGGCCAAACCATTGCAAAGGAGTACTACCAGGAGGTCCTTCATCGTCTTTCCGATGCTGTGCAATGCAAACGACCGGATCTGTGGTCGATCAAAACTTGGCAGCTCCATTGTGATAACACATCCACCCATTCTGTGCATCTGATTCGGGCTTTTGTCGCCAAACACAACACTCCTGTGGTTCATCACCCTCCATACTCTCCCCACATGGCTCCGTGTGACTTTTGGCTATTTTCCAAGCTGAAAATGCCGCTAAAAGGAACCCAATTTTAGTCGAGTGAAGACATCATGTAGAATGCGACGGACCAGCTGATGGCCATTTCAAAAGATGCGTTCCAGCAGTGTTCCCAGCAATGGCAAGAGTGCAGGGAGAAGTGTATACATTACCAAGGAGACTACTTTGAAGGGGATTAGGGTTTTGTACCTCAAAATCAATAAATGTATTTTTGCCAACCAAAGGTCTGATACTTTTTGAACACCCCACGTAATATAATGAACTGAAATATACAGAATGATTATAATTAACAGTAGATGTTCATAACTCTCTACAGGAAGAACTATTTGGAAAATTGTAACTAAATGTAGTATATATACTGTCCTTAGTATGTAGCTTCAATTTCTAAACAAAAGTTTTGTTTAAAAATTCAACAACTGTAGCAAAATTTGGCATTACTATTTCCATAATGTCAATTGCTACCATCTATAAATGTAATATTTCTATAAAAAGATACAGGTAGGCCTCCTACAACGCAGTAGATACGTTCCTTGAAAATACCGCGTTATGGGAAATCGCGTTATAAGAGACACCAACTTAATACAAAAACTGGGATTCAGTTCTAAAAAGAGAGAAACTTGCTGTTTGAATGGCGTTTTTTGAATTTTTCAAACCAGCCATTGCTAGCCACGAATTTAACACTGGTTTCATCAGCCGATGACTGTCCCATTTGTTTCAAATAATCAAATATTCTTATGGCTTTGTGTTTAACTGCACTTTTATTTAAAGGCAACCGTTTCTTGTTCATATCTTCTACCCATAATATTAGCGCTTGTTCCATTTTTTTTTTTTTCCATTATAGATGATCTTGGACGAGCAACATTTTTCGCAAGAATAGATGATCCGGATGCGACTGAATTCCTAATCTTTTCTTCCTATTGCTTAATCAACCGAATAGTTGGCTCATTTAAATTAAAATGCCTATCAATATCAGCTATCTGCTCTTGATTTTTAATTTGATCCAAAATTTCTATCTTTGTTTAAAGAGATATATTAATAAATTTCCTTTCTAACGACGGTCCTTTCTTTTCATTCGACATTGTTATGGTTAAAATTTTTTCAAACAGTTTTTTGGACAGTAAAAATCGCAAAAAATAACTTTCCTTCACTATGTTGTTAAAAATATACACCCAATAGAAGTTTATACTGTACAGTCGACCCCCCCTGTAACACGGTAGATACGCTCTGTTCTTTATGAATCAATTTCTTACGAGTCCTTGCCAATCACAGCCCGACACGTGTGAAGTTTACGGACTACAGCTGTTTGAAAGGTTTTCTTCCATAAAATTAATCGATTCTAGACTAATTTGACTCAACATTTCCCAAATACGTATATTTTTTTTTGGGGGGGAATAATTTGTATAAACTACGCTATAAACAAAAAATTGTAGGATTACTTACCAAGTGTGCACCGTTTGACGTCGCCATTGCTCAAGCTTGTTTTTGTCGCGGAGCAACTCACCAAACTGTGGCCGCGATTTCTGATAAGTTATTTTTCTGCGAAAAGTTCGTTGAACTTTGGAGACATCATTAATAGAAATAATTTTTATGGCCGTTGAATAAGAAATGTTTTTTTCACAAGAAATGTATAAAAGTACAGTACTGTATTAGACTTAAATTTACATACTGTACAGACGATAGTAAACTCAATTTGCCTAAACTCTCCGTAGCATGGCGCTGGACGGCAAAAAGTATATATATAATTATAATAAAGTTACAATAAATTAAGTTAATATATAATTATATATACAGTACCTAATTTATATATAATTATATGTACAGTACCTAATTTATATATAATACTGTACAGATGATAGTAAACTCAATTTACCCGCCTAAATTCTCTGTAGCGTGGCGCTGGATGGCGGAAAGTAGTTTGGCTGCCCGATGACCTTTTATCGAATTATAGGAGTTTTTTTTTACCAGGTTTGTACGGATACCGTCACAATTTTTTCGCTGTCTTATAGGAATCGTAATTATAGGAACCCGTGTTATTGGGGGGTCTACTGTATTTTGGACCATTTTTGCGGTCCCCACCTATTGAAAGAGTATAAATTATCGAAAATTTTGTGATATATTTAAGTGTTTTGGGTAACTGATGACATCTGTCTAGAAACCGGTCTTCCCCTGAAACTTTCATGGGAATAACACGTCAACGTGGACAAACAGCTGTTTTCAAGGACATTTAGCTCTGTACATCGAACTGTGGTGCATATTAAGTGATCTGTTTAGATTTTTGTTATGTGAAAGATAATTCGTTTCTAAATACCATAAACTGCGTTGTAAGAAAATTTCCACATTTTTCCAACCGCGTTGGAACGAAAACGCGCTGTAAAGGTACCGCGTTGTAGGAGGCCTACCTGTATAGAAATATGGGCATATGATTGTGTTAATTTTTTCTAAGTTGGACTTTCTGATGTAATGCAAGTCAAGATGTCTCTATCTGGAATCTATCTATGACATATGCCTCTCCAGGGAATGTGCCACTTTAATATATAGAATTAGATTTATTTGTCTTGAAAAAGCCATTTTCTTAGTAAGATGATGCAAATACTCCAGAATAGATGAATATTGGAGAAATTTCCTTTGATGGAATATTAAATTAAAAACATGAAGAGATATCATATTCAAGTTAAATAAATTATACTGTAAATGGAAAAGACATCAAAAGTGGAAATAGTGGAGTAAAGAGAAATGAGAACAGAATGTAATGTATTAAAAATAAAATAGGATTAACAAGTCAAAGTTTTCAATGCATAGGTTTTTAAAGTATGGATGCTATAATGTATTAGGGAATAAAAAGAAATGAAAATAGTCCATGGTCACAGAAATTAATTTTTGGATTGGAAATTAATACTGTTTAAATTATTCAGAGAATTTCTTTGTTTTTCTTTTCTGATTGTGGTTTTATAAAAAAAATTTCTATAAAACCATTAAATTAAATGGTTATGTGGAAATTAAAAATTATAAACACTCAAATCTTGAATTATCCTAGCAGATAGGTGAAAATCCAGTAACAAATGCTTTTGATCTACTTCTAAGACCTGCTTCTGGTTAAACATTCAGAAATAGATTGCTTTAAGCTTCAATGTTCAGAACATGAAATGCATAGAACAACTGTAGATAAATCTGAATTTAAAATAAAAGACCAATGGAAAGTGTCCACTCATAGTTGATGCAATATACTTTATAAGAATGTATCACATAGGGCCTACCTGCTAGGATAATTTAAGGTTTGAGTGTTTATAATTTTTAAGTTCTTGCCTGGTTTGGTAGATGGTTGAAATGTTATGTGGAAATTTTTGAAATATGTATTTTTTTAGAATTACTTTTTCTTCAATAAAGAAAATAAGCCCAATATTGAAAAAAATTTACTTAATTTTAATGATATAACTTATGTGAGAACAACGAGTGAGACAAAGACACAAAATCGAAAATAAATAAAATAATATATAATAATTTTATTAACTCGCTCATTATGATACAGGTTTCTGAGGATACCAACAATGCTACACCCACCGAATAATTCACACAATTATTCAATCACCATACAATATAGTCTCCTGGCAAAGAATGTGCACATGTAGTCCTTTGTCCGACACGACGATTCAATTACTTAAAATTATATTAATTAAAACTAGATTCTTATTACTACTTACAACTATTGAATAAAGAAGGCTTATTAGAAAATTTAGAGAATGAAAGTAAGGGATAGAAAAGAGGGTACCCAGAACTTGATGAGGTATGTTGCTTCTATGGGATTGTGGATGAGATCTCTTGTTGGGTTGGTGACTAACTTCACTTTTGTCGCTCTCCAAAATAATAGTTCGAAGGGCCAATGCGTCTTGTTCCTCACAATTAATTTTTTTTTATTTCTCAGTTCGAAGGTTCTCGTCTCTACCATACGATGCTAAACGTACTGGGAAGACTCCATTTTGCTCTCTCTTTTTCGGGTTTCTGCCTCGGAATGACCCACGTGTTTGCCTCCTTCCCCTCAGGGCTGCATTGTTTCTGGGGTTAGTCATCTACATACCAAAGCAAAGGGTAAAACGAGAACATTCCAGGATGGGTAGACAAATAGGACAGAAAGAGGGGAAGCGGAGAATATACAATATAAAATAATACAATTATATACAAAATATACAATTTAAATATGGCGTGTAGCCACACTTACAACATTATTAAACATTAACAAATTTACATAATATTGTAAGCAATTATATAAACTTGTTTGTATAGTTGTACACATTACTCAGCTAAAAAGGAATTTTTAAAATGCATATTAGTTAATACATATTATTGCATGAAAAATAGTGATTTGTTAACATGAAAGGTGAAATATAATTAGGAATATAGTAAGACAGGCATTATTTGTTGTGATTACTTGCATTATTATTTTCCTTCTTTGGAAATTAAGTTATGTGCAAAATGGTTGAATTAAAAATAAACAAATTTTGATTTTTATCACTTTTGAGTTTTGATAGTTAGTTAATTAATTGTAGTATTTATATTCTCTAAGGTATTATTTAGTAATTTTTTAATATCATCAAAACTCAAGTAAACAGAATAAGTAAGAAATATCTGTTTTTACTTATTTAAATCAAAGATGATTTTTTTTCTCCTAATCTTCCATTTAAATTGCTTAGTTTTCTTTCATAGTGTTTGGAGGATTTTTTTAGAATTTAGTTCAATTTATAGCATCACTGTTACCTATATGAAAAATTATTAATGATAGTATTAGTTAATATTAGAATAAATATAAGAGTTCAATATTTTTGAATATGAGATCAAAAAATTTATTTCTGTTTTATATAGAAAAATAAATGAAAGAATATTGGAATTCATTTGCTTTCCTCTTATCATTGAATAGATCATGTATGTGAGTGGAAAAGCAAATTATTTTGTTTAAGAGAAGAAATTTCAATAATCTGCTTTATTGGAGTCCACAAAACCCATGTAAATTTATTTAATTATCAGATTTTGCTTTTATTGATGATATTTGATTATTCAGTAAATTTGTGTGATTTTATGGATTTCAGTAAAGTAATTATAATTTCTACTTTATCATTGTTTTATAACAGGATTTCCATTAGTTATGTTTCTGGAAAAAGTTATTATATAATGATGTAGGCCTATTTAAAAAATAAGTTTTGTTTTAATAATGTAACTCATTTAGTAATTTTTTAAAGTTTTTTTTCCAGTTTCTTTACAAATTTTATATAAACTTAAAAGCATCAAAATATTTGAACAACCTAAAACTAGGAGTTTTGAAAATTATGAAGATGATCCTTTAGCAATAGAAAAAGTTTCATTTTGTGCAGAAAGTAGAACATTGGCAGTAGCAGGAGCCAGTGCCCATGTAATTTTATTTAAGTTTAATAAGACAGAATCAGTTACTGAAATTCCTGTAAGTATTAGATTTTACAATTTTTTTTCTAATAAAAATTGATTAAATATATTATTCATTTCATTAATTTTTCTTACTTAATTTAATTAAAGTAAATTAAGTTAATTTAATTTACTTTATTTGATTTGAAAACTGTGTGTGTGTTTTTTTAAGAACACAATTAATGCTTAATTGAGGGATTTCAAAACATGTTTGTGAAATAAAAATTAATAAAAATTTTACTTTATATTTTTATTTATATCATTTTGTTTAAATTAATTAATTTGTATTTTTGTCATTTAATGCAAAAATATTGTATGGAATAATAATTAACATAAAATTAAGTAGAAAGTATGAAATAAAATTTATTCATTTGTAATGGTAAATAATTTGACATTATAATTATAATTAAATATAAACAACACCTTAACACAGGTAGTTAAATCACTTTACTAAACATTTTTCAGCTCTATCAATGAGACATCATCAGGTAAATAGTGTTTGAATTCAAAACAACTTAACATCAAACTTTCTTCAAAAATTTTTTAAATGGAATTAAAATCAAGAAAAAGAACAAGAGTATAGTTAACAAATTTTTACAATAAATTAAAAATCTCAATTATTATAATAACAATAAACTATCCCAAAAAAATTAATACAATAGCATAACTATGTAATATTTAAGACTGCCAACTGCCCAGTATTGTTGTGCATACTACAAGGTGTTTTCTCTTGTCCCAAGTTCTTTTCCAATGGCATGGAGATACACAATTACAAATCACTGTCTCTGGCATTAACACATTCATTTCTAAGTCTGTGTTTAAAAACCTCAATTTTTTTCTTTATTCATAGCTGGAGATGGCACTTCATTAATAATTTTAGATTTTTTCCAAATTATTGAAGTTCCTCATGTGTTTGCAATTACTGCCAATACCATGCTTTCTTTCCTTTTCCTTACATCATATTGGTGTTCTTTAACTCTGGTTTTAAAATTCCTCCTAGTTACCCCAACACAAGCCATTAGGTTAAGTTCTTTGTTAACTATCAGGATCCTGTATATCCTTGCTTTAGTTTATTCTAGAAGTGGATTCTTGTCATTTCATAGTATTCGACAAAAATTAGGGGCACTTTTATATATACCATGTAGGAGTTCATTTGTATGGAAAACTCTTCCATTATATGCCTGTAGTATGTGAAGCAATATTGGGCAGTTGGCAGTCTTAAATATTACATAGTTATGTTATTGTATTAATTTTTTTGGGATAGTTTATTGTTGCTGTATTATAATTGAGATTTTTAATTTATTGTAAAAATTTGTTAAAAATTCGTTAACTATATTCTTGTTCTTTTCCTTGATTTTAATTCCATTTAAAAAATTTTTGAAAAAATGTTTGATGTTAAGTTGTTCTGAATTCAAACACTATTTACCTGATGAGGTCTCATTGATAGAGCTGAAAAATGTTTAGTAAAGTGATTTAACTACCCCAATGTTAAGGTGTTGTTTGTATTTAACTAAAAATAGAAACTGGGTTATAATGGATTGTTGTTATAATTTTAATAAATTTCAAATTTAATATTAAGTCATATTTTCTGCAATGAAATAAATATACAAAAATTTTTATTATTATAAAATATTTAATTTATGTTATATTTTTTCAGATTATAGAAATACCAATATTGTATGAAATAGAGGATAATCCTGAATGTTTCACAGAATTTGAATTTCCACCCCGACCAACACTAAATGTAGCTTCTCAACATGGGTCATTCTCTAGCACTTCAGAAAGTCCTAAAAAGGTTCATTTTTTGTGTGTGTTTATGTTTTAAGCAGATTCATTATATGTATGTTTGATTATTTAATGAGTGTGCAAAATAACTTGTAATTTATTAATATTGTAAATAGCAACACTTAGAAATTGAAACATTTTATTCAATACAAGCAAATGGTTTTTCTTGGTGCATTTCAAACATAATCAGATTTATTTAAAAAAAAGTAAATACATGCATATTAATTTACATAAAATCTGTGAAAGAAAATAACAGTAATGTTGATGATCTAGAAACCTTAGACCTTCATATTAGCACATGTCAGACTACAGAAAGCTGTCATACTAAACATGTCAGTCAGGAAATTTCTGAACAAGACACATACACAAACAGCATGCAAATATCATAATAATTTGAGCCCTGGAGGTGAGAATGTTCAGACACTTGCCTTAACACTTCTTTCCTAATATTTTTGTATATGAATGTACATTTTTGTTTGAAATTTTGCATATTATGATAATAAGAACATTGTTTCTGTTGGGCTGACATTTCTGGCAGGAAATTTATGAATAACATTTGAACCTAACATTAACGGTCATCGAGAATTATACATACTGTCTGATTTAAAACAGTGATGGTCCTAAGATTAGGTAGACATCTCTTGTTGGGATTGAAGTCAGTTTAGAATAATTGTCAACATTGATCTTTCTTGAAATACAATGGTTTCTCAATTTCACTTGGTGACAGAATAGTACCAATTGGATTGTGGAGAAGAAAATTTGAAACTAATTTGGATAATCCTAGCAAGGAGAACAAGTTTAGCGATGAAGATAGCCATCATCTCAGGACTTTCATAATACTGTGATTAGAGGCATCTATATTAATCAGTATGGATGTAGTCTCTCTTCTGTTCTCTTTTTCTCTCTCAAATAAATTGTATTTGAACAAAATTTCAATTTTCTGTCTTTCATCCTAAGCCAAACACACCACCTACATAATAATTATACATCATTCTTCTTATGTCCCTTCTGATCCAAAAATCAGTCAAAATTTTACCAAATAATTTGGCTGAAAAAATATAAAGACTAGGATAAAAATTCCATGATATCTCAATAGCTTTTCTCAGAATTATGCCTTGATCTTGGTCTGGCATAGCATTAAGCACCAGTATATAATCAAAGTATGTTGTATTCCACAAACAACACAATGATAAATAGAATGATATAATAATAATAGGGTAAAATCTCCAAATATTTAGGATTCCATGGGATTTAAGATTGATAAATTTACATGCTAAATCAAATAGGGATTAACAAAAGAATATAACAACAGATTGAACTCAGTACTAACATAGCTGAATGCAAAACATACATTAAAAGAAATCAACACACATGAAATACAGAACTGACATATTCATTTCATGTGCACACAAACACACAGAACTAGAACACTTGAAAGGAAGGCACAGAAAACATTAACAAAATATAATAAACACAACTCTAAGTCATTTATAGAAAGACTCTTTGTAAAGAGCCTCACAAAGCCTTGTTTTATGAACATTTTGGCATGACAAAATCATTTATTTGTCTTTTACTCCTTGAAAGCCTCACAGATAAACTAATCTTCACTTCAAACAAATACAGACAATTAGTTATACAGACATTGTAAGAGTTTTTTACAGAAAACAAGGAACATTACAATTAAACAAAGTTCTTGAGTAATTTTTTATATACTCCAAATGAGGATTCTTGCTCTGTAGAGTTTATGTAGTCTTGATGGAACACCCTGTATACAAAGGGGACTTTATTATTAATTCACTTTAACCTGTTTATAACATTGATACTTTAATGTTAATTCAAGATTAAGCAGTAGTTCTACAGAAAGTTAATTTTGCTTTTGCATTCATTTAGCTTTTGGAAGAACGGAATACTTGTTTATTGCCTATATTTAGCATTTAATTATTGTATGGTGCTATTAGCAAGTGTGACTGATGTGGCCAGTTTTACCCATCACTTCCTGCTCACGTGAAGTTGCTGTTAACAGTCAATTACCAGCTGTCATGTACAGTACTTTTTCTTTTGCTGTTTATCAATGCTTGCATTTTTGCATCTTTTAAACAAAAATGAGTGACAAAAAAATTTTTTGATAAGATTCTAGCTCTGAATGAAAGAGGTTACCATGCCCTCCCTTCATTCATAGCTAGAATTTTACCCATGCATATATATATATATATGTTACCGCTAAAGCTCGAAATCTGTTAATGTGCGCATTACCTAGCTAATCTGCAGATTAACTAGGGTGATCCGTTAAAGCTGCGAAAATTATTCCATTTCTCAAATTACCTAGATAATGTTCAGATTATCTAGGTAATCTGCAAATTACCTACTAGGCACTCGGTAAAGTGAAAATAAGATTTTTGCTGGAACAACAGCAACGTTTCTGTACGCTTAAATTAACATAATGTTATTTATTTAATTTTCAATATCTAAAGAATCAAGTTAATACAATCAACAAATTAGTTGATTGAATCAATCATCAATCAATTAAAAAAACTTTAATACAAAAATCAAACGGTTTAAAATATTACTACAATTAGGGAAATGAATTTGCAAAACATATGATAAAATTGTACTTACTTATTAGTGCAATCTAAAGATTGGTGACACTTTGAATTACGTAGCAATTGGTTTTTGCGACAAGCACGCCTATTTGTGGTACATTTAGATTTGCAGTCACATTTTCTGAAACCCTGCCCAGTACCAAGGGATTGTTTTATTGCTGTTTGACGTAAAGATATTTCTACAGCAGGGACATCCATCTTCTTTCGTTAAAAATCTCTCTTTGCAAACACTGAATTCAGATTTTGCATACAATTGTTTTAAAATACCTGTTTTAGTATCAAGTTTATAAAAGCCATCCTCTGTTTTACTAAGAACCACAGCTAAAATTGAACGTGCATCAGTTTTTGCTCTGTCTTCTTCGGGTACTTTAATTCTCACAGCGAAACCTTCATCGACGTTTGGGTGCTTTGCATTAGAAACTGCTAACATTTTCTTTGCTTGCTTTTCTAAACATTTCTTGGCTTCATCACGCTGTATTTTCTGATCCATATTCTTTTTACAGATGATGCACAATACATTCTTACCATACCCTTCCTCTTTAGGATCTACTTCACCACAAACTGCGTGAACAAACATATTACACGATTTACACTTGTGAGCACTTGATGCTGCTTTTGAGCAAACAATACAGACTATGTCTTGTATAGTGCTCTTTACAGGCTCCGTACGAAACTGTGATGGCGATTCTGCTGAAGTTGAGAGTAACTCAGTGATGACTTCTTCAACTTGCAGAGGCGATTCCTTGGAGGTGCAGGGTAACTGAATATTCTTCGTGACTGCATCATCAATCAACGGTATAGAAGGCAGTTTAAGATTACTATCGGTAAATTCTTGTATTTCTATAGGTGATTCTGTAGAAGCGGGGGATAACGGAATGTCCTCTTGAGTAAGATTTGACTGTGATCTCATAATCACAGTCTCTTGTGAATCTTCTAATTTTTCAAGGTCTTCTTCAGTTTTTATCGAATGTCAAACAATTCTCCGGCATGGACAAACTTTTTCAAACCTTTCTCGCGCATCTGACAACGGCTCAATGAGTTTTTCACAGCCTCGTACAGTCAACACATCACACCTTTGAATTATTTGATAATCTCGAGATGATTCTTTCTTCTTGGAAACTTTTATTTGCTTTACATCTTCAATTATGGAATCATACTTTGGTTTGTTATTAAAACACTACGTATTATATTTTAAATCTTCGCTAAAGAGGTTTGCGAAGAATCTTTTCTTGATTTTACTCACCAATTCGGTGCTTGCTTGCATTCTAGGATTTAAATTTATCTACGTAAAAAGGAGGAGTGGGGAAAGGAAGTGAAAGAAACAAACTTTTGAACTTTAACGATACGGAAGCCGTTAATATGCAGATTAACTAGATACTCTGCAAATTACCTAGGTAATTTGAGAAATTGAACAATTTTCGCAGCTTTAATGGATCACCCTAGTTAATCTGCAGATTAGCTAGGAAATGTACACATTAACGGATTTCGAGCTTTAGCGGTAACATATATATATATATGTGGAAAGTTAAGTTTCAGTTGATAACTTCTACTGAAGCGTTTTTAACTGTAAATAACTATTGTATAAAAATGTAATTCTTTTTGACTTGCATTTTGTATTAGACTGAAGATATTAATCTTTATCCTAATTGCAATTATTTGTTAAAAAATAAATCTTAATCCATTGAAATAGGTCAAGGTGTTAAAAACAGTAAGTATAGTTAAAGACTTAGTGCCATTTTATTTAACATACAAATAAGTTAATTTTCATTCAGTAGGTTGGTTTCTGCCACCAGTCAGTCATATAATGTGAGGTAACTTTAACTCATGATGGGAATTTAAAATAAGCATATAACCCACACTCCTTTCAAACACAAATAACCCATGAGTTATCTGCACAAAATTACTGTACTTTTGCTCCACAATAAATTTCATAATAAATATAAAATAAGCAGATCCTATAATAGTTCTACTGTAAATGGCTAGCACAATTCTTTTTCATATTTATTACAGATTTTAGTTATACATTTTTACACAGTAATTGATAAACATATGTAGAAGTATTCCTATGAACAAAAAAAAAAATATTCAAAGTGGACTGTACAAAAATATTAAGGTAAACAATAGTAAATACTGTGTTTTATTGAATAGTTTCACAGATAAACAATATATTATGTTTTGATATTATAAATAGTTTAATTAAGAGTGAATAATTAATAATTATTTATAATTATACTACTTTTAAATAACAGAAAAATGAATATCACACTACTCTGAAGGTAAAATCAGGACCAGTAAAGAAGATTCCTGGTTTTCAAGCTGAATTAGTTTGTTTAACTCCATGGATTGATGGGCAACCACCAGGACACATAACTGCACTTAGTGTGAATTCCTGTTTTGGCCTGTAAAATATTGTTCTATTATTTATAAATTGTAGATTTAATTATTTATTTATTATAATATATATGCATATTTCTCTTCAAGGATGGCATATGGAAATGAATGTGGATTAGCTATTGTAGATATTGTACAGAAAATATGTTTAATGAATTTGGGAACTCCTGATCTTTATGGTATGATAAGATTATTTTTATTTCAAAAATCAAAAATTTAAAAATATTCTTTTGAATATATCATATCATATCATATGCTAATACAGTGAAATTCTGTTAACCGAGCATCTGGTATACCGGCAAACTGATGAGTCAGTATGTCAAGCTCATTGTTGGGGAAGGGGCACTGAGTAGGTTCAGAGTTAAAATTGTGTAAAAGCATTTAAAATGTGCAGTTCTTGGGAAAGGATGTTGGTTTTTTTTATTTTAGAGATGACAAATGCCAAGATGACAAATTGTGCTAGATAAAATCAGTTAGCTCATGCATGATTTTTCTAAAGACTTTTTCAAAGACAATGCATAGATTTCATGTGAGAAGCAGAAATATCTAGTATACTTGAAATCAATAATTATCATGAAAACACCTACAGTACATTACTGTTCATGTACTTTGATAATTAGGGTTTGTCTGTATTCATGTGTGTACAATAAAAATGAACAGAGCAGAAAGTGAGAAGTATTTTTGTTTCTAACCAATCAAGGGTAGGAAAATCCAGAAAAATTGAAATGTTGTGTTAAACAATCATAAAAGACAGATTTTTACAGTTTTATATGTGAAGATCTGTAACATTCTGTCCAGGGAATTGAAAAACTGGAAAAACTTCCATGATACAATAAGGCAGTGTATTCAATAACCTAGCACCGCATTGGTACCAATGATGCTAGATTAACAGAATGTCGCTGTAGTTTAATATTAATTTGTTATTATATGATGTAATTTATAAAATTATAATTATTTATATATATAAAGAAATAAGCATTTGAAAAATGTCACACAGGCAATCAGAATCAGAGTTTCATTTTTATGACATATGATCTGTATGCTGAAAATTAAACAAGTCTAACATTGCATTTCAGCAAACCAAAAGTCCCATCATTATTTTTTTCTTGTTCTGTAGATTTAATCTAGGATTTCAAGTGCATAGAGTACATTTTGTTTTAAAATTTTATAATTTGCATATATTTTGATAGTACAGTGGGTGATTGGTTAATGAACAAATCAGATAACGAACACTTTCGCAAAAGATTTTTATGTTCGGACAATGACCATCTCACAGAACAAACACAAGAAGAAGTGACATAAAATAATGAATATTGATTGGTCTTCCCTTAACTTTCAAATTGTTGCCTAAAGACTTCAGAGCGCGGGAGACGACATTGACGCTCAACCCAGTATATACTGATTGGATAGTATTCCTCTGAACTTTGAAACTTTTCCTTGTAATTCCAGCCTTTTATTTTTCTGACAGAAACAATTCTTTTATAGCAGGGGCGTGCCATGACATTTGATGATAGGGAAGCTGTGTTTCTGTAAGAAGCCGACATCCAGGGGCAATCAGTCAATTGCACGTCAGTGATGGTCTAGGGTCCATTCATATCGTTTATTCGATAAGCCAGTAAAAACCGTAGACTTCTATCAATGCATTTTTAATATCACAATTACATTCTGAATCGCTAGCCACGATATAAGGGCTACAATTAAAAATAAAATAATAAAAACTTACTTGGTGAAATAAAATGTGTGGTGGATGTACCGGTACATACCTGGTACAAAATATTCTTCAATTGTATGAATATACTTTTAAAGAAAATTATAATTAAATATAGCTTTGCAAAGAAACATACATAAAAATATAAAATATTCTTTACTTTTTAAATCTTAAAACAATGCACTTAGTCAAATAGCTCCCTACAAGTGGCTAATGGATGGAATCAAAGACGGTTGCAGAGTATGCATACACGCGGACTGCCAAATTGGGGATTTGGCAGTCCCCAGGGTGCCGATACTGGTCAATGTCAAATACCTCTTTTGTCACATCATTAGTATATCTCAAAGGATGTGTGACAGGGCTGTTGTAGATTTTAAACTTTTCTCACCATAGCTGTAAAAATCTAAATATGTTAAACTTAATAGTCATTTGTTTTCTAACTAATTCGTTTTAGGACCAGGTGTTGTCCATGGAAATTTCCAAAATTTACAACTTTTCAGTCACTCTCGTTGAACTGGAAAAATTTCTGTCTTTATTATAAATACATCTAATACAGTATTTCGAAGAAGTCAGTCCCCACTGTACTCGGCTATAGATTGGTTCGGTTAAGCTTTTGTTTAAGTAATATTCCAGCTCTTTCATCAGGGTTTTGTTTATGTCCCCAATTCCCTAATCGCTTAATTATTTAACTACTTCTTAAGTAGAAATAAGTCGAAACCAGTTACTTTGTACTCGAATATTTGCAGTCTCAGGAAAAAAGTGGAAAGACAAATTTTTATGACAAACGGATACATAAATCGTAAATTTAAAGAAAAATTCTAGAGCTTTTTCTGTACCTGGTGCATCTCTCTCATTCATTAAATTTAGTTGTAAATGATGCTGTTGAAGTAACGGTTAATTTTTTAACATTATACAAGAATTGTACACGTTTTTTTCTACATCCCCTTAGAGATGGGACATACAAAATCATAATATCACTGGTTTAACATTGAAATCTGTGAGTAATATAAAATTGGAGAGCAGAATAAATATATCAAATATTTTAATGGATTTTTTTAATTCCCGTCAACTGTACAGAATTATCGTAAAAACATACCAGTAAATTCTTATCGGTTGGGTTAAGTTATAAATCTACTTGTTATTCACATAATCGGCCAAATATCTAGCGGGCGGGCGGCTAACAGCCTGGAACCGGTCCTGGATAGAATTGGAAGCGTTATATGTGTAGCATCAACCCAAGCTCATAGGCTTCCACTGGCTAAACTGGGTGAGGTTGGTGCTCTGTAAAGCGCATGCACAAATCTGGCATTTTGGAATCTGACAATTGAGATTCCACTCTGCCACTAATATTTGAATATACAATAGCAATTTTTTTTTTCACATGTGGTATAGAAATTTGTAATAAGATACATAATGCGGTTATAATAAAATATTGTGCGATTATTTTCATATAATTAAAATTAATATGTATTTACTTATTATAAAATACAAGGGAAGCAGCGCTTTCACCACTTCTAATGACTGCACGCCACTGTTTTATAGTCTCATTTAATTGCCTTATATGTCCTAAGGTAACTTTGTATTATACTAGTGATTTTATGAAATGGCATTCACCTCCTAGAAAGAAGAATGATGGAGATTAGAAAGTTCTCAAAGATGGAAAGAACAAAGAACAGGAAAAATGCAAGAACAATGAAAAGACAAAAGCAGACAATATGGCATGCATTCACATACTTCTGTGTTATAGCTGTTTGAGCTGAAAATGTTTCTATTCAGACAATAATAATGGCAACACATCTTGTTTCATTACAATGCAGTTCTACTTTATAATTTATTTTCTTAATTTTTCAAATAATTTTATAATTTTTACATTTTATCCTAAATACTTATTTCATGCATAGAAAATTAGTGCATTTAATTTAAAATAATTCTTTGTTTTATTAAGTTTGTTTTTATTATTATTAAACATTCTTATAAGTATTCAACTGTAATGAAAATAAATACAATCTACATTACAATGCAAAAGGAATTTATTATAGACAGTATCATTTATACATTACAGTGTAATTGCATCATGTGTCTTCTAGTATTAGTCATTTCAAGAGGAAAAAAATTGTTATAAGGATAGAATGTATTAACATGTATTAAATTGAATTATAATAATTAGTACAGTAGAACCCCAATTATCTGAGCCTTGATTAACTTGAGATTCTGCAATATCCAAGGCAAACCTGTAATTGAATACACTACTTTTTAATATTGTATTTCATAACAGAAAGTTTAAATGATAACATATACAATGAAGCCTGGTTAACTTGAACCAGGATAACTCAGTCACATTTACATGAAATCATTTTCTTTCTTAATCATCCAGCATAGTGATTTACATGCTAAATTAAACTGGTTTACTTGAATTTTTTGAAATGTTTAACTCAAATGGTGTTTTGATACAGTATTTTCATAAATTCTCCAGAATTTTAATTTTTCATTAAATAAAATAAAATAATTAATGTTCATCTATCAAATAAACTAATTAGAAACTTTCTGTAAAGTGTGGGAACCACATATGACTAAAAATAAACATTGTGTCAATTGACTGTGGGGATGGCTTCCAGACAGCTTGTGTGACTTAAATACTGTAACTCTTATTCAAGCCTGCTTTTTTTTTTTCTTTTTGCTTTATTTGTTTGCTGATGGATTTCTCTGGCTAGCTGGCATAAAAAATAAATGGATTTTTGATTAATTATTTTTAAAATTAATTTGTTTATTTCCATGTAAAAATTTTTACTTTTGCAGCAAAAGTAAAAATTTCGTCATTTCTGTATATAAAATTAAATAGTTGGTTATGAAGCCTTTGTTTATAAGCTTCTAGAATGTTCCATCATCCATTATTGCCCTGAGGGGTAATAAACTTAAGCAGGACAGCAAGAGAGGGTATATATTGACTTGTGGTTGAGAGAGCAATTTTTTTTTTGGTGCCATTACAGGAAGAACATGAAGGTGACCAGTGACAACAGGACTGTGCAAAGGAAGAGTTACAAAAGTCAACAGACTCCATTCCAATTGATGAGACAATCAGGAGAAGACAGCAAATATGCGGCACAAAAATTTGAGGAACTTCTCATTTACTAATGCTTCCTGTATTTTCAATTGTCTACTGACAGTAGGATTGTCATGTAAGAAATTCTACAAATTAGACTAATATGCAACTGTTGCAAAAAAAAATGCAAAGTGTCTGAGTGTAATGAGAACCTAAAGCATTATAATATTTCAATACCCTCTGAATATTGTATATATCAGATTATATGTTAACTCAACTTCGTGTTGAGAAAATAAAAACTTACAATATAACCATTGTAAAGAGTGGTTTTTTGTGATAAAAAATAAAAAAACAGTTTGATTCAAGGTGCAAAATATTGTAACTTAAAAAAATCCTTACTAAACACTTAGGCATGAACGGATTAACCATTT